AAAAATGCATTACATATTACCTATTTCTAACATGGACTAGTCAGTCATTCAGCCCAATCTGCGACTGGTTAGTTACCAAGAATCTTCACAGGCAGCTTTACACCTTACCTGAAGAATCTAACCCTGTCAGTTCACACTGGAAAAAATATAAACATTCTGTGGAACACATTTTGGAAATTATTTACAATGACCACTTTTTTTTTTTTTTATTTACAGTACTTATTTACAGTCACTGTTTTACACAGGCGACTTCTAAGTACTAGCAGACTGATCCATCTGCTGGCATGAGTCGCGCAGTTCAGAGTAGCACCAATAGCCTTGAGAATCTAAATAATCAAGGGAGACATCTTGTCACTTGTTCGCAGACAAACTTCTATCATCTCCAGTGCTATTGACTAAAGTATAATGCATCTATACCACACACTTGTCTAGATTTTCTCTTTTGGAAACTTTGATAGAAATTGGCACTTTGCCCAAGGAAATCAAAATTCAGGTTCACTTCAGAAAATATCTGGAACCTTTTCTATGTCCTCATGTATCATTGAAAACCTTGGATTTTAGGCACACTGGAAGATATACATAACACTTAAAAGGAATCCCTATGTAACCTTAGTCAGCTTACAGGCACTAAGAAATGGCAGCTGTAATTCACAAAAGAATCCACTTTACACATTTCCACAGACACTAATGAGAATACCATTGTCCTAAAATATCCTTTTATTTTCCATTTTTTCAGTAATATTCCTAAAAGTACTTTTTAAAGACACCTGTACACCTTTCCTTGGTTTAAACTATTTGTGCGCTTTCACTTGGATTTATTTATTTTTTTCCTCCGTTTTGTTTTTTTAAAAATCTATTCTCCATCCATCAAATCTATTTCTTAATTTTGTCGTCATTCTCAAACTCCGAGTTGACTTCTGAGTCCTCAATATCACAGACATTGTCCAGGTCAGATGCAGAGGTATTGGATGCTGCACCACCCCACAGGGAGGCTCCTTCCTCTTCGTCTTCCATGCCAGAAATCACGGATATATCTGCTCCAAATTCACTAAAGCGTTTAACGGTGTCATGCCTGCGATTGCTCCGGACTCTGTAAGGAGAGTACGTGGCACCATCGCGGTCCTCTGGGAGATGGTTGATTGGTGGAGGCCTGTAGACTACACTGTAGGGATCATCAAGTGTGTTCAGCAACTTCCCCCTTTCGTCGTCGGTTTCCGTTTCGCTTCCCACTTGGTAGCGTGGGAGATACTGGTTCGGGTGAGTTTCGTATCTGGAAAAGGAGAGTGGTTTTAAATGATAGTGAATTACATGAAACTTCCTTTGTCCCCCTTATGTTGTTAAAATAACAAAATTTCAATATAAAATGTCGCAATTACTTAAGTAAATTCTTGAGAATGAATTGAATAAAATCCCTTTCATTTTATTTCCTCCCATAAAATTAATAACAAAAATAAAAAAAGTCCACATGCATTACAATATTATCTTACAAACTCAATACAAGGGTAAATAAATATTCATCCCACTCGTATGAAGTCTAAAGCTATTCTACTATACCTTTGAGGTTGGGGAATGAAGAGTGAAGTGTCAGACTCGGCCCCTGCGTCAGAATTGGGGTCGAGTAACTGTGAGGTATCTAGGTCAGGTCGGGACTCAAGCTCGAATTCAGTACCACACTCACTTACAAGCTCATCTGCTGGCAAGGTCTCCATATCTCTACCAGGATCTACTGGGCCCTCCACTGCAATTCAAAAGTGGTAATGAGTTTCTCTCCATGGGATCTCGAAAGGGAAATCTTCCCTGATTCATTCTTACTTTTAATCTGCAGTACCACATTTACCATGCACTGTGTATACCCAGGTTGATATACTTTAAAGTTCAGTTATTATTGTTTTTACTTTAATATTTAAAAATTATTTACATACTTAATTGAGTGCCTTAAATGTCTGATGAAATAAAATTAATGACCAAACACTTGATAAATGATGAGAAAGATCTGAAAGACAATGAACAACTTCTGAGATGAAGACTGTATAGCTAACTCCTTGCAATTGGACCCCATAATAGTACTTGCATGTCTAGCAACTACCATTTTATCCATACGCATCTAGTCCCATACAATAAATTGGGGGTGTGCAACCATTCGGAACAAAGGACTTGTGTTTCGGAAGACCACACATACATACTATATATATCATGCTAGTTACCAGGACCTATTGTATGGAATTATATATATATGAAGAAATAATTGTGAGAATGAATATACTTTAAAAAATTATCAACTAAAAATATCTGATGGTGAGAAACAAAGCCTTTACTGGCTACTAGCTTTCATTACTGTCCAATAAAATTCTATCTTGGATCTACTATCCTACATCTAAAAAGTATGAAGGCATCTCTCTCTCTCTCTGAATGGAGGTTTTAGGGATTTTAGAATAATGCCAGATAAATTTATGACTCTGGCTTCTGCCTAAGTACTGAATTATAGGCTAATAATTTCTATCTGTACTGAAAGTCTTAGAGACTGCCATATAGTAAAGGACAAATGCATTGCTCTTTAATTATAATTCCTAGCTACTTTTATATGGGAAAACAGTTTCGGAAACTGCACATTTATCAAAAATATGTTTATTTGTTGGTGTTGCACATTTATCTTTAAACCCATCAGCAAGGGGGTTAAATCAGGGTATCTTTGCCTATGAAAATATTATCTTGCAAATCTCTCTCACCAACCATCATCATGAACCAAGTTAATGAAACGATAAAGATGCTCTTTAAAATCACAGTAATATATCTTACCTGAAAAAATAACACTGTAAAAAACAAAAGTGGGGGAAAAAAAAAAAATAATAAAATAAATAAAAATAAAGAATAAAATAAAAAGTGGGAATATTCTCCATCATCTATCAAAGCCTACCTGGGGGCATCAAAGGCTGATTTTCTGCTGGCTTCACTACTATAGATTCGTTAGACTCATTGGAATGGTATGAGGAGGAATCTCTCACTTCTCCTCCGGGAACTTCCATGATGTTGGGAAGTGGGTTCTGGGAGGGTCGCGCCCAATCCGAGCAATCCCAATGGTAGCCTGCCACCACGTGGACACCGGGACACAGGTTAGTCACAACACAAGTCACAGAAGAAAGGAGAAAAAGAAAATTGGCCCTCATTCTTTGGCATCACATCCAGGCTATAATTATGATGTTTATAGAATTAATTTTGAAAATTTGGGGAGGGAGGAAGGCATGTCAACTGATTATTTATTTATTTTTTTCTTGGTTTTAACCTTGAATGGGCATATCAAATTTGCTGCATTATCAGATCAATGAGGACCAATTAACCAAGTGTCTGCTTCCAACATGCACAGAACAGTAATAGTTTATATGGATTCCTCGCATTTTAGATGGAAGCAGCAGACACCAATAATTTGTCAATACTTTTACAGCAATCATAATGCTGCTGGAAGAAAGCCATTTTCTTTTTCTTTTCTTACATCTACATACAGCACAGATGCATTTACCCATGTGCTGTTGAGATCTAAAGCACAGCAGAAGCAAATTGATCATAACACTTTCACCCTCACACTTACAGCATCTGTCACCCTTTCTTTGAAGCTAATTCCTGGTGCGGATGATGATTCTAATCTGGCATCCTATCATCTTATTCACAATATATTTACAACTATGAATAAGTACATGTCACTTTACAACAGGATTTAAGGAGGAACTTAAGGAGGAATTTAATCATCTGTCATCCTTCGTGTCGTGATGACGGTGCCGAAGCAAGCACAGGGGGATATGGAAGTATTTAACATGATGTTTGAAATTAAAAATGGATCACAAATAAGATGACACAGAAGGTACTTAAAAGACGTCAGTACGGCTTTACAAGGGGGTTAAGTATTTTAAGTATTTAAATACAGATTCAGTACACACTTGTAGAGAACTGTATCAACAAAAGGGGCATTTTAAATTCAGTGTTAAAGGGGAAGAGGGACGATGAGTTCAGTATGGCCAGTCTGTCATGTGAGATGTATTGCCTAAAAGAAATAGAAAAAAAAAGGAGAGAAAAGAACCCTCTAAATATTATGTATGTAACTTCAAACTAGAAAGAATAAAATCCCATTCCCTACTTTTTTTCTTTTAGTCTAGTTACCTATAATGAACTTACAGACTTTCTGTACAACTCTAACATAACATCTGTATAACATGTCTTTTTTTTCTCTACTGTCAAATATCCTCATTAAGGAGACTAATAAGATTAAGATTTAAGATTAGATAATGATGTTTGTGTAAACTTTTTTTTTTTGTAATCTTCCTAAAACCTTATGTTGAATCACTTCTTTTGACCATGTTAAAATGATTTAAAAATGTAACATAAAATAAGTTTAAACTCAAAACAATTATTGAAAAGAAATGTTGATGTTCTCAGTTATTTCAAACTAAAGAAAAATCATGCTACACAGAACATTTTAGTTTAAAAGAGCAGCTTGCAAAGAATGAATGAATATTGTACAAATGATAACTTAAGAAAATAGCTTAATGAATAAAATAAATATACACCGCAAATTATTTATTTACCGATGAAGAATCCTTACTTATAACTCTATTACTTATAACTCCATAAACTATTTATTTAAGGAAGTCACATATTTCATTTACAGATCTATACAGTGACAAAGGTGACAGAATCCCCAAGTGAGAGGCGGGTACTGTAAGTGTTATGACCTTTAATGTAACAAGAACTGTAATGTTCTCCTCCCACTCCTAGAGTGAACAAGGTAATTTTATAGGTACTTCTGCTCATTTTACCTAAGACTAATAACAACATCTTAAAATTAAAGAAGTGCTAGTGTAATAAAAATAATATAAAAAGCACATACAAGCAAGCGCAAACATGCTACTCAGTCTGCAACATATGCTAAGACACATTTATAATATGCATGATGCACTAATAACAATGTTTAAATTCATGCTACAATTTTGGGCTTTTATTAACATTCTGAACTTGACCAACAGAACAGAGAGAGAGAGAGAGAAAGACGGAGACGAAAAGGGGCGGGACGACGGAACTCACCTGGCAGATCGTCCATTGAGGCCCCAGACCGCACACTAGCATCATCCCTGGTGCTGCCATCAACACTTAGTTTCTTGAGGCTCATGTACTCACCCTGACGGAACTTTACATCTGGCAAGAACAAGACAGCAGCTGGCATGATTCTCCCCACCAACAAAAAGGTATTTTAGGCCAAAGACATATTTACTTTATATATTTTCCTGCCATTGTGGAACCTGGACATTTTCACTTTATGTATTCTCCTGCCATAATGGAACAGTGACATTTTTTGTAATATTTCCTGCCTTGCAATCAAAAATACAAAAATAAAAAAAGACAACTTGAACCCTGACATCATACAAAACTGAAATCAAAAGCAAAAACAGTATTTCTTTTTTCTATTTTTTAACTACAAAAACTTATAGGGGAACATATTATAGAAATCTGATTGCCAGTTTCCAATTGCAAAGAAGTTAAGGCTCGAGAGGATGACCTCTAACCCCAGCAAGAACGAAGAGAATGAAGTCGTGCACAATACAAACCATTTTGGATCTTGGCATTCTCATAGTAGGTGTCCTTCAGATTATGTGCAAGTGCATCCTTCCACGGCTTATGCAAACTGTCTGTATCTGCTGCCAAAGTGGATCCCGGTGAGCCCAGGGTGGAGCCCAGGGTGGAGCCCAGGGTGGAGCCCCGGGGGGTCCCAAGAGGGTTAATCTGGGGGGTGTGGAGGTGGTGGTGATGGTGGAGGCTGTTGGGCTTGGATATGTTTTGAACAAAGTCCCGGGAGTACTGTGGAAGGTTCTCTAGCTCATCCCCAGCTGAGCCGTAGCTACGGATGGTGTCAAAGTTGTTTAGCGGCATGTACGCAGGTTCACTAGGACTAGTGGGGTAGGAGTCGGGGCGAGGCGTGCAACCGTGCGGATTCTGCAACACATACAAGCCAACACAACAGTAAGGCGCAGCCAACACAACAATCATGACCTGACGGGGCTGCTTTGGGAGGAAGTGCGGTACTTCATCAAAATACAGACTTTTATGCCAAGACATGAGCAGGGCCATTTAGATATGCTTGGGGGGATTATTGTATTGGATTCAACCCCTTCAATTCCTTTATTTATGATTAGGAGGCTACATTTTGATGATTTACCTCTGTTAGTTCAGACACTATTACACAAAGTTTGTGGAAAAAAATGTCTCAAAACTTATTGATGAAATGCATGTGTAAAATAATCTTGAAGCCTATGGCACATGCAAAGCCTCTATCAAATAATCATAAAAAGCTAAAGTGGCAATCTGGTGATGTAAGCAAATTCTAGATGTGATTTCTACATCTGCAAATTTAAGTGTAGTTTTAAAAGATTGCACAAAGGTACCAAAATACAAAAAGCAAAAATAAAAATGAGTATCATCATATACTCTTTACATATAAGGGTTATAACTAGCTTAAAACATCACCTTCAGTGCATTAAAATATTGTTTAAAGAAATATTTTAGTTTCATAATTACCTAATGAAATCCACACAGTTATGAACACACAAATACAGGCACCACAGCAAATATTCTTATAAAGTGCTAATGAATATAGTAAAGGTAGAAAAAAAAACAATAACAAATCCCAGTATATTTACCTGTGAGGCTTCCAGATTGCTCATCTTAGAATTTCTCTTATAGATGTTATGATTGTCTGTATTTTTTGGTTTCAGGATAACATGGTTTGTCTGCTCTATCAACTGTCTTCTGCGAGCAGCTCTCCTCTCTCGGCAGTGCATTGCCAAGACGATGATCAGGCCAAGAATGATGACTGATACTATGCCAATGACTATGTAGATGATCTGTAATGAGATGCAAATTAGGACATGAAGACAATTTTATCTGAAATTAAATGCAGAACTTAATGCAGAATTTTTGTTCAGTGTCACAAGGTTTGATTCATGTATGGCCCTGTCTGTAAACCCACCTCCTCCATTTTAATATTGATCAGTGTACCGACTGGAACAGCACAGTAGGGCCCTGTAGTATTTCCTGGACACATGCACCGGAAGCTCCCATACGTGTTGATGCAACTGCCGCCATTCTGACAGGGGTTCTTGGCACATTCATTGATGTCAATATTACAGTAGGCTCCAGTGAACCCATGGCACTTGCATATTGGGCCAGAAATACCCTCCTCACAAGTTCCTCTATTCAGACAAGGATTAGGGTTGCAATACATGTACTGGCAGCGAGGGCCTGACACACGAGCTGGACATTCACATCTGTAAGTGTTTTCAATGTTGACACAGTGGCCATTGTTTAAACAAGGTGAGGAAGCACAAGGATTGGAGTCCAGCTCGCAACGTGACCCAAGGAAGCGAGGATGGCACTGGCAAATGAACGATGCACCGCGTTCTTCGCAAGTGCCACCATTAAGACAGGGGTGAGCACCACAGACACCTGGTGGCTGTAACT